TGTTTAAACTTGTTTCAGATGGATCAAACTTCTTTCAAAGGATCGACAACACATAAAAAGGCATGTGTTCAAAAACGGCAGAACTTTTCCTTATACCCAATAAAACTTATAGGAGTGTAAGGTTCATGTTAAAACGCATATTGTATTTTACCATGTATAAGCCGAGAAAATTTGGTAACTTCTTTAAACATGAAAGTACGAAGGTAACCTCAGCCAATTTAAAAAAGGTAGCTTAAAAAAACAATATTTTTTAACATTTTCCGCTAGCCGTGCTTCATACGATTTTAATTTTAACTCTTTATTCTATAAAAACAAAAATATTTACATAAATCCTTCAAATACAGCCTCGGAGTTGAAGTTTCCGAACAGTTCATAACATTTACTCATTGGGATGTCTAAATACATATGATCATCATGCCTGAGTTCCTCCATCCGACCGCTCATTCTCCAAATAAAACACTGATACGAAAATATAACTCGTTCAGATAGTGTACAAAATAAATAAATTTTTAAGATGAGTTACCTTCCGATAGGGTTATTAAATATAAAAATGTCGTTGGCATTTTACTTTATAGTAATTTAATTCGAAAATATTCCTCTCATTTTATCCGCTTGGCAACATTTCCCTCTTCCAAGGCGACATGTTTGAAAATAATCGGAACTTTTTCAATTCGGTTTATACACAAATTACACATTTGGGGTAATTTCTTTGAAGAAAAAACGTGCCCTCTGCGTATACAGAGATTGGCTTATACTCGGAAATACACAGCACTAAAAGTTTTTCTTCATGGAATTTTAAAACGTTAAAGCATAGTATTGTAATAAGATGACAGGCACCAGCTGAGATATTCCTGGTATTTAAAATTTCTGCATGGTATAAAGTAAAATAGTGATATGGTTTGTGGTTGAAACAAGGCGTAGAATTTTGTAAAAAAATCTGTATATAAAATAACCATTGCTAAAGATTCCTGTAAGAATTGCTTATGTTGAAACGTTGTATAGAAATTCGTTACTTTGATTTCCTTGAACTTTTTACTCCATTTCAGTCATTTATAATATTAAAAATATGTATTGTAGTAATGTAATGATGACAGAATATTGTTTTGAAGTATCCTAGTATGACATACTTAAGACTTGTTGGAACACAATTCAGATTAATACATACATGCTAATATTTAACCAAAATTGATTTTGCTTCTATATAAATTTCACAATACTGAGGATGAATAATATAATACCACCACAAAATACCTAAACTAAGCTACCCCACTTCCTTCAGTAGTTGAAAAGCCTCTTTAATGCAGCAAGGAGCTTATATTTTTTTATTATTTTTAATGGGGATGCTTATTGGTGTTTTACCATTTAAAACCTAGTACATTCCCCGGGAGCTGTTGTCTTTTTTTAGTGAGGCACCAATAGGTGGAATTCCAATTGCCGCAAAAGTAATTTTGACGCTCAGTTTCCTTCCCAGAGGGTGGCACTTGAACTATGACGATGCAAAAACGTTCTCAGGAATTCAATTTCTCCGAGAGCATCCAAGCCAAGCAGGCACTCAAGGATTTTTTACATGCAGCATAATCATACATGGACGCTATCGATTTTCTGCATCATGAAAATCCACCGACTTGGACCGGGGTTGAACCTGCAATCTTCGGCGTACAAGGCCAGCGACAAACCAACTACGCCACTCGACCAGTGCCTTATAATAATAATAAAACCTAGAATTTACAATGCTCATAATGGAACTGAAAGATTTCCTTTTATTTATAACACTATCTTACTTTTGGCTAAACATAATTTTATTTTGACTTTAGAAAGCCATGAAAAATATATTTCAGCACTATAGTCATTGTTGAACACCAATAAAGAATAACATGATATTTAAAAAAAAGTCGAATCAAACGGATTAACAAAGCTGAATTAAATTTCCAATCACTTCTAACTACGAGGGTAGATCAGAAAAAAAGTTTACAAGTCACAGCATTTGAAAACTACATATTGGAGAAAATCCCCCCCCCCAAAGTGGAGAGAGATGGCGCTACTTGTCATACAACGGGTTTGCGGGTAGGTAGTGAAATTTTCCAGACGGTTCAGGATGATTGAAATGGCTAGATTCTTAGGAAATTTGTCTCGTTTGGAAGTGCAAGCCATGATTCAATTTTTATAGGAAAAGAATGTGTCCGCATCGGAGCAAACAAGTAGCAAAATTGTGTCATTCTTTTCAATCAGGCAGACAGGATGTCGAAATCGCAATATGACAGGAAGCTGTCGGCAAAGTTCTTCAACGACAGAAATCAACATGACTCGAATTGAAGAAATGATTCAAAATGATCAACGGGTAACTGTGTGAAAACTCGTCAGAGCTGGGACTCAGCTATAGTAGCGTGCAACATATCGTTTCTGATGTGCTGCGATATTCCAAGACAGTTCTGTGAAAACATTCGTCGAGATCTGGCTCAATGTACTAGGTCCTGATTTCTTCCCCAATATGGGTTAAGCAAATTGATTCTACGTTCTGATAAATGCTAAATAGACTTGGTGATTATGTCGAAATGTAATAGGTACATATACCTATAAATTCCCTTTTGTATTTTCTGTCTTGTAATAATAAATATTTTTTTATTCGACTTGTAAGCCTTTTTTTTTTGATCAACCTTCGTAGTTATACCACGCTTCTTAACATTCACCTTTCATGTATCCGTTATTTTGAAGATAGAATACTCGTATATATTCAAGAGCATTTTAAAATACATGGAATAAAATGAAAAGCATTGCAGCAAATTGTTTAAAATCACATTCTGGCTCTGTTAAGAATATCTCTTTTATCACAATTAATAAATAATTAAGTTATATGTTGGCTAAAACACTTCATTGGGTTAAATTTCATCTCGAAATTTATCCGATTTTTCAATTACAGATCAATGTCTAGTTCATTATTAGAATGCTCTCAATTCATCTCATTTAATTTAAAACATCGAATCATTCAATTACACACACCTCATTGAAAACTGGTTCTGAAAATCATTCCATTTTTCAGACTAAAAATTCCACAAGTTTCAACCACTCGTGTGATTTTCTACATTAACTTTATTAATATAATTTACAACGATTGTTTCAAATGTCTGTTTAATATATACCCATTAAACTGATATCCTCTCAAGTATTAAACAAATTACACTTTGCCTTAATTTCCCTTATTAGAGGATTCAGGCTTAGAATAATGAATCCCAAATACACAAATCTACATCCATCTTTTCACACTCCATTATCCTCGATTTATTAATAAGTCATAAAGATTTCCCTAAATCTCAAGAGCCACTGAAAAATTCTATCCGCTTGGAAATTAACGAAGTTTCCGGAATTATAATCTCTTGGTAATCCATCGTGTTCGTGAAGCGAAGTGAAGTGGCGCGAGTCAGAATTTTCAGGGAATTCTAATTTTAATGAAGTGCGTGTGAAACGCCACGCAGGATTTTTCCTAGGAGATATAATATACGCGGCGCTCCTTAAGAAATGTTTAGTTTTAATTTGTTCTCTTGTAGAGTAAGTACGCTTCCTTTTCTTTTAATCAATGTTTGAATAGATAAAATTGCGTAACGCGAATACATTTAATTGTAAGCTAAAGCTGTATTTTCTTCTTTATTTTTTTAATTAACTATTTTTATAAAATTTCTATAAAAAGAAGACTTTTTTGAGTAATAATTCAACGAGTTATTCCTGATAATGAAAGAAATTAAGATACAATAAATCGACAACACAATTCCATAAGTCTTATAATTAAAGATATTAAGTTGTAAAATGAAATCTGGAAACATTATGTACACAGCACAGAAATGCATTTTCAAAAAGATTTTAAACATTGTAACGTTTTCCCAACTTGCAGCAGCAAAAAAGGCAAACGTTATACCATTCATACCTACAAGTTCACCCTTAAAATAATGCAGGATCCTTTAATCCAACATCACGCTGGTAACCGATGACCATGAAAAAAATAACCCTCCCCTACTGCGAACCGAATCTCGAAAGAAATTCGATAGATAATAAAGGACCTCCCACCCAAAAGAGGGGAGAGAGTCTGCTTGAAACACTCGAAAAAAGACGTTGTGTTTTGTCTCCTCCAAAACACTAATAAAATATTCTGTAGTATTGAAATACTCAATAGTTTGAATATAACTTTTATCTAATAGTAGTTGTTACTAATGTCACTTGATCGGCAAAGGCCAAATCGAGGCCCATGAAATGCATCATGGCAAAGGGCTAAATGACGCCTGTCGTTAGTCGTAGCTTTGGTCGTTAGTCGTAGCTCCATGCAGGTGACAGTACGATTTGGCACATTTCCATCCCTGAGGACACCCTGGGGTGGTCAGGAGCTTCCCGTCTTTCTTCCCTTTCCACCAACCTCACGAGAGGACTTGCGGCTCGACGGCTATTTAGAGTACCCCCATGCCGCGAAGACACTATACATTTACAAACATCCATGCCTTCTTCGGGATTCAAACCCAGGCCCTACGGCACAGCAGTCAGCGTCGCTAGCCACTATACTGGAAGGGTTACATTTTTATCTAAAAGTAAATATTGTAATTAGTATCTGTAAATTTAATAAATCAATTTAACTTCTTTGGGTGTTTATTAACGTCACACTATACGATAAATAGAGGGATATTCGGGATGGACCTCGTAATCTTGAGCCATGGTTGAGGACGAATACTTTGCATAAGATTGCCTTTTATTATTCAATTCCTACTATAGTTCACTCTCTCCCTGTATATATTTATTTATATATCCTGTTCAAAATTTTCAATCGTTAATAAAATACTTTTTATTCAACCATTCAAAGTTCAAATACATTGTTTTAAACTTGTTGTGGATGACACTTGATGTTAATACAGATTTTCAAATAATAATTTGTAAATTAAATTAAAAAATAAATAAATAGTTACCAACACAAAAATAATAGTCCAACATCATATATAGATTGGAAAATCATTCGTTGTGTTTATGTCACGCGCAATGGATAGCGCGTTGGACTTCTAATCCAAAGGTAGTGGGGTCAAATTCCACATGGGATAACGTAATTTCTGAGAAAGTGATTTCTTTTTTTACTGTACTATTTTATTAGAATAATTAAATTTCATTGATGAATAAATAGTAACAAACAAAATAATCCAATACCATACATAGAAAGGAAAATGGAAAATTGCAATTCTGTTATATGTATATACATATTGATATTAATTGTAACTATTTAATAAAAAGTAACTAAAATAAAAAATTTCTCTGTTGACTTAAGTAGAAATTGACTTAATTTTTTTTTCTTTTATTACTCTTTGTATTATTCTGCTTACGAATATTTGAGGAAAGATACAAAATTCGAACATTGTTAGTCTCATGCATTTCATATTAATATCGCAGCACATAGATGTGTGAAAAACATTCTTTTATCAAAAGAAAAAAATTAGAATTTAAAATGGAACGAGGGAAAAAATAGGAAAACAAATCTATAAATAAATCACCTGTTCTTTACAAAATGTAGGAAGCTTCTATTTTTCTGAAGTAGATTCACTTAAAATGTTCTATTAGTACAATTTTAGCCGAAAAACATATTACATTTTACCTATTAAATAATATGCATATTATTTAATACGTAAAAGCCTTATTTTGTACGAAAGCAAATTTCTATATCAAAAGAAATATTGTCACCTTTCCAACAAAACTATTTTAACCTCCTCATATCCAACCTTTCACACAAGTTTTATTTCGGAACCCTAAAAATTAACAAATTTATGTTGGAAAATAGTTTCCGATATTAAGCCGAGATATAAACCGATGTACTGAAAAAAAAACAATTTTGATTAATTTATCGATTGATTGTTTATTAATATCATATCACGAAGCAACACGATAGCCATTGGCAATAAACTTAGTAATTTTGAATCACAACCAAAGGTAAGATTGACGACACAAGAGCTGGCGACTTCTTTCCAGAATTCCACGTCAACACGAAGATCTTAAACCTTGATAGTTTTTAAGTGCATTTGTTCCTCTGCACCAGTGGTCAAAATTTATCAACACACAAAGTACCCTTATATCTATAAGATGATCTCGGAGAATCCCATTCCACCCTTAAAAAAGTTACATCTTAACTGAACATTCAAAGTAGATCAACATGTTATAGTTACTTATGTACATACAATTAAAAAAAGTATTCTATTTATTATTATATTTTAATGTTATATTAATCTGTGTAATTTACTTATTAATGATATTAATTTGCGTCTAGGTGTCTCAATTCCGTAAAGAAAATATGAGTCTATTTTACAATTACATTTAGAATTTTCTTTTGGAATTTTTTTTTTGACTAGTGGAACCCGAGGTTTAGTGGAACTCATTGCTCTACAAGATGAATCTTTAGTGGCATTACGATTTCAATGCTCGATTCGACAGGAACAATGCTGTACATGAATTGACCACCATAACAGGGGCGTAGCTACCACTGTTATCGGCCATATCAATGATACAGGGCCTCCAAGCAACAGGGGTCCCAAAATGTGTATGCATAAAATCTTAGAGTGTTAAGGGGCCTCAAAAGAAGAGCCCCAAAGGAATCTTGACTCAACCCCACTCAGGAATAGCTACACCAGTGCACCATAACCACTCCTCTATCTGTGGCAACTCAATAGCAATAAAAAAAACAATTTCTAAATTATCACTAATACTCAAATCATAATTATACGGTAATTTCAACTATAATTAATCATTACACATAAAAAAATGACTATTTCACTTGCAATGGTCTTGCCTGCGTGTCTAAAGGTGTGGGAAGATTGGAAGGAAGATTAGCCATATTTCAGAAACAATCTAATATATTCACAATATAACCACAACTCAAATACAATCGATCAATGCTAAGAGATGCACCTAATTAATAACTATGCAGACAATTAACGAGGTACGTAAGATATAAGAAGATTTTAATACTAAACACACTTACTCAAGGCAATAGCTCTTACTTCTTAGCTATTTAATATAGATTCAATCTCCAGTAACAATTCGTCACCTCAAGTAATTCCATTATCATATATTAAATATTCGGATTCACATTCAATTTGATTACTCACTACAACGCTAGTAATCTATCCTACTTCTCCTTCTAAGCTAAGAGCCTAGACCAGTGGTTCTCAAAGTGGTCTATATGGACCCCCAGGGGTCTATGATTACCTTCAAGGGGTCCACGGCAGTGAAAAAATAATTTGTGGGTCCATGAGGTGTAAATGGGGGTCTACGATAATCTAAACCAGATTGTAACTTTAATTTTAATAGAAAATCTAATAAAGTGTCAACCATATTTACCTATTTAACAGCTTTATTTACTGAATTTATTGGGGTAAATTTGCAATTAGAAGGCGACAGCATACATTTTATTAAAAACGATCCATCATTTCAGTGTTTCTAGCCAGAATCAAACTGAAGGAGTATAAAACTAGACGTCGTGAATTTGAACAGTTTCTCGATTTGTCACAATCTGCCAGAAAAATGACGTTTTAACATATGTTCAGCATTTAAATGCCTTTTACTCAGGTTTTGAAACTAGGTTTGAGAATGTTTTGTGAACATGGTAATATCACAGTAAGTAATGAATTCCTGTTGTCACATAGAAAAAAAGAAAAAAAAGTCTAATTACAAAAGGAATTTATTTTAATAAGCCTATAATGAAGTTTTTAAAGTAAAGTTTAGATACGAATGTCAGCAATTTTGGTTTTAAAAAGATATACCTGTTATTTTTTCGAATTATGGAACATTTTAAAGTTTTTAATTGCTTTTCCTAGAGAGGAGGAGTTTCAGCATGGTTGCCAATCTTCAAAATAAAAACAGAAAAAAAAGAAAGACTGGATACTAAAAGAGAGATTGAGGGTTAAACCTGAAAAGATTGATGCCAAACGTTAAAAATGTGTTATTGTGAAGCACAAGATTCATCTCACCCATTAAAAACATTTGTTTGTTGCTCAGTTATTTTATGAAACTATTATTTTATATATTAAATTAAAATGTAATTAACTAATTCACACGTGTTTCGTAAGTTTTAAACAGACTAATTAACTCCAGTTAGAAACATAAAACTTTTGAAGTAAGTAGTGCTATAGCAACTGTCGAAAAACATTTAAGTTGATAAATTTGCAAAAATTTAATATTAGGTAAGTAGGGATCTACACAAAACCGAAAAACATGGTAAGGGGTCTACGAGACAAAAAAGTTTGGGTACCTATGGCCTAGACTATATATAGCAGTATTATAATGTACATAATCACGTCTTCTTCAAACAGAAGTTTTATAATAAAATAATTTTTAAAGACCAGAAACTCCCCAAGAGGATTATTAGTATAAGGAGCGTGGATAGAACTGACATACACTCTTTCTCTCCATGTAAAACTTCCTTCAACTTAATCATTCTTTCCTATATTTTTTTGTAATGATCAAATACTGAGAATTCATTTTTAATTTTAATTAAAAGTAATAAAGCAATTACAAATCACTAAAAACAATGATGAAATTATTTATTTTCCCTCTAAATAAGAGCCGAGACATGTTTCTGAGTAACATATATACAAAGCACAACGAAATTAAACACTGTTCTCTACAGAACGCACTTAACATTCGAGCATGTTTCATTTCAAGAACGGAAGGAGCAACGCTTGAATAATCTTCCCCCAAACTCCATTGCATATTCCAACAGGTCTTCCCTCAAACTAGTTACAACATGCAACATTCTGACCAAACAGAATATATGATCTCTCGCCCTAGACACCCCCACCATATACCATATTCCCTCAAACCCAGTTCATAAGCTCATCATTTATTTTATGCATTAATATAAACCTTGGAGCATGCAACACTGTCTCGGCGTGCAACAGATCTCTCGTACATGCATTCATCCGCCCTTAGGCTCACTTTCTCTTACTTTAATACATCCACACATCTCTCCATCAACCCCAGTTGCAGTTACTGCAATTAATGCGTCGGAGCGAAAAATGGGCTGTAATGACGTCCCAGGTGCAGCTTAAAATATCCTTACTCTGGGAAAGTATATTCATCGACAATGATTAAATTCGCATTCAGGCGGAATTAAGCGTTTCTACGGATATGATAAATATTAATCCGGAATTAAGAGATAGGAAAAAATGGAACTGGAACTTTGGTAACGAAGGGGGATGGGTCACAAATCCAGAAAATCAGGGTTGGAGGGGGGATTGAGTAGAAATGAATTGATGTAGCGGTTTTATTTCATGCAAAAATCTGATTTTCAAATTGTTTATTTCAGTTAGTTATCAATTGCTTTTATTTTGCAAAAAGATCTTTTCAATCGTTTAATTTTTTTTTGTTTTGTTTTAATCGGGTTTTTTTTTAAAAACATGCGTTCTAGAATTTATTGAAATCATTCTGCTTAACAGTGTCCTTTCCTTCGAAATTAATGCGTATATGCAGTGGCGCACACGTGGGGGTATCCTAGGGGTCCGAACACCCCCAAAAACCCTCAATTCAATTGAAGTTTTTCAATTGATGATAATCCTATATATAACGCAAAATTTAATTACTTGTAATTAACAATTTATTTTATTAATTAATGTTATTTATTAATTCAATAATTTTTTTACTCTTTTTTGTTAACAAAATCGACAAAATCAGAAGAATCAATTGGCGTTGTCTTGAGGTATGACACGAGTTGGGGGACTTTCGACCATGGACTTGAAACATTTTTGTGTGTGCTACTGCGTATATGTTATAATTTCTCAATGCTTTAAATCAAATAGATAAATTTACATTCGTTACAATTCAATGGCATTATTTTCCTTTGATGTAAGCATTTAATAATTTCTTAAATACAAAGCAATTAATGATTAATAGGGCTTCTATATCCCATTTTTGTAGTCCATTGAGATGAATGTATTTGTTTTGATATATATAATACAGTACACATTAGTTAAATTTTTAAAAACTTGTACTTTTTTTTTACTTTTATGTTTATTCTAAAAGATAAGAAAAACTATTTTCTCACACGGTCGACTACTTCGCA